CAGCCTGGCAAGTGGCGATGCGGTCAGATTCCAGCCGCTCCCCTTATCCTTCTAATGCGATTCCTCCTGGTCTCTGTGGTCCAGGGGTTGCTTCAGCCTCAACCCCCGGGTTCTGGGATGTTCACTGTGGTGTCTTGCCTATGGATAGTTGCTAGTTGGTCTTGTGACGGGGGCTTAACTCAGGAATGACCCGTGTCACATCTTGATGACATGGCTTCTCCACATCCTTTCGATTAGCTCTCGGAGTGGATTAGGCTCAGTGTGGATGACTCAGAATTAAAAATGCCAGGGGACCTGCTCACAGGGGGGTCCTCACAATTTTGAGAGATTTACCTCCAGGAACTCAACCAGGTTCCCACAGCAAATATCAGAGAAATGTCCCCTAGTGCTTCTGCTCAAAAGTTTTTGTTAAAATCAATAAACGAAGTAAGGATTGAGGGGTTTTATAATTATATATAAGTGCCCTAATACGCTTAAGGTATTTTATTCTCAGCTTGAACCTCCACTGGCAATGGTCTCGAATGGTCACAGAGTGTCCTGAATTTATTCTTCTTCATCTATAACACAGAGAAATTTGACAAAATGTTCTCTGAGGCCATCTCAAGTCTACATATATTTCTGCCCAATTAAGTCTGTAAGAATTAGATACATTGTCAAGAGAAACACCCAGAAATTCCACACAGGGAAATAGGAGAAAACACATTTCTTATCCATTTCACCTATTTAAATATTTGTCAGAATTTTTCCCCTCTGGAGACAGATTACTATTTATCTGTCTTTTACAACATGGATCCCAAATGCCACAATTTTTACAGAATCGTTATCAAACATTTTCCACCAAGGAAACTGCAGTAAATATGGTATGATTAAAATAAAATTTACTGAGCACCCACTTTGAGCTAGGCCCTGTGCCACATGCTTTCCTCATTAATTTTTATAATAACACTGTGAATATTAGCATTCTTTTTTTTTCCTGAGGAAAATTTGCCCTGAGATAACATCCGTTGCCAATCTTCCTCTTTTTACTTGAAGAAGATTGGCCCTGAGCTAACATCCGTGGCAATCTTCCTCTATTTTGTATGTGGGATGACACCACAGCGTGGCTTGATGAGCCGTGTGCAGGTCTGTGCCCAGGATGTGAACCTGCGAACCCCGGGCCACTGAAGTGGAGTGCGCAAACTTAACTGCTATGCTACTGGGCTGGAGGGATATGAGGGTTAAAACAGTTGATTACTTTGCTCCAGGTCATGCAGAAAGGTGGTGAGGTCAGGATTTGAACCCAAAACGTCTTTACTTTTAACCACCAGTGCACAGTTTTTTTAAACTGTAATTTAAAATTTAATTAAAAGGCAACATAAGCATACATTAATATATTAAAAAGTCAAAAACTACTACTGAACTCCCAATGAAGCAGTCCCTTTTCCACTCCAGATTCTTCTTCTTCAGAAACAACCATTTCCACCTCTTGTAGCTCTGTCTTCTGTTTCTTACTTCTGTATTTTTAAGTAACACCTTTATGTTGCTATTTCTTGATTTTTTTTTTTTTTAAAGATTGGCACCTGAGCTAACAACTGTTACCAATCTTTCTTTTTTTTTCTGCTCTGTCTCCCCAAGTCCCCCCAGTACACAGTTGCGTATTCTAGTTGTGGATCTCTCTGGTTGTGCCATGTGGGACGCCACCTCAGCATGGCTTGATGAGCAGCGCCCAGGATCCGTGAAACCCTGGGCCGCCAAAGCAGAGGGCACGAACTTAGCCACTTGGCCACGGGGCTGGCCCCCTCCTGATTTTTAATTTTAGATATTATTGACTCTCCTATAGTAGAAAAGGAATAAACTTCTACATGACTCATGGGGCTCCAATACGTGTTTTAGCTTATCTTATAGCTAGAGCCATATTCATTGCTTGCACGACTATGGTTATTCAGCATTTTTCATGTATGAGTAACAAAATTTGCTATGGTTAGATTTCTTTTCTTATGTAACTTTTTATTTTTCTGGAATCAATAATTCTCCCTCTCTTTCTCCATCTCTCTAAAATATGTATTGCCAGCTTCTATTCTCTCTCCTATGGAGTTAATAAAACTCCTTCCACTGTGGCTAAGCCCATCAGGCAATCTGTTTTCCTTCCATCTCAGAGCATCTTATCTCTCTACTTTTGTCTGGGCAGGTGTGCTCTCTAGGTTTCAGTACAGCTCTCATCTGGAACTTTCCTTTACCATCATCCTGGGAATTTCCCTCTCTTTATCCTGGTTGAATATTATTTTTCCTCTCATTTTAGTATTGGTTGCATATCTTTCAGTAGCTTCCTGTGAATGTGTGCATAGGAGGCAAATATTTTATATATTGAATGATGGGTATAATATTTTAAATTATTAATAATTTTTGGGGCCGGCCCCGTGGCTAAGTGGTTAAGTTCTTGCACTCCATTGCAGCAGCTCAGGGTTTTGCTGGTTCAGATCCTGGGCGTGGACATGGCACTGCTCATCAGGCCACACTGAGGCGGCATCCCACATGCCACAACTAGAAGGACCCACAACTATAGTACACAACTATGTACGGGGGGGGGGGGGGCGCGGGGGATTTGGGGAGATAAAGCAGGAAAAAAAAAAAGATTGGCAACAGTTGTTAGCTCAGGTGCCAATCTTTAAGGAGAAAAAAAAAGATTGGCAACAGTCGTTAGCTCAGGTGCCAATCTAAAAACAAATAAATAAAAAAATAATAATTTTCTCAGCTTCTCCCAGCTTCCAGCATTGTTTTGGAGAAATCAGACTTTTTCACCTCAGAAACCTTAAAGATCTTCTCTTTATTGCCCGTGTTCTGAACGTTCATAATGGTTTTGCTCTGTCCTGGGCATGTGAGGGCCTTGTGCTCTAGAAGTGTGTTTTTCAGTTTGGGAAATTCTTTTCCATTACTACTTTGATAAATTTCTTCCTCTCTGTTTTCTTTATTCTTTTGGGGGGACTTTTATGGAATAACTGAATTAGATTTTGAAACTCTTGCATTAATCCTTTAATTTGTTATATTTTGTCTTCTACTTTTCATATATCTATCTTTTTGTTTTGCTTTTTGAGAGATATTCTCAATTCTGAAAGTCCCTTTTTAAAAAAATGATATTCTTTTCTGAATGCAAAATCTTTCATCTTTATGAGGTTATTTTGTTGGTTTGTTTTTTTCCTCGCTCTACAATGCGTTTTCTTGGATTTTTTTTTTCCTATTTATTTTGGTCTCTTCTTTCCATGTAGAAGTTCTCTTTAGTGGTAGAGATTCTTGCCTATCCACTTATTTATGAATGAGTCAGCCCTTGGAAGCTATGCATGCATCCAAGACATGCCAGGCGGGAGGCTTCACCGTAGGGAAGGTAGGTAGGGGTCAGGTCTTTGGTTGATACTAATATCACTACCCAAAGATCTCTTCTCTTGGTCTCGTCAGTTTCTCCAGAGAGGGTCCCTCCCATCTCTTGGCTGTTGTATAAGCCTGGTTAGTGACATGCTGGGAACCAAGTTGAGGCAGTGGGGTGAAGTCATACTATTGCTACTCATCTATTCACTTTCTGTCTTCCAAAGTCCTGTTGGATGTCTCTCTTTTCTATCGTCTTCTCTCCTGTTCTCTACGCCATTGTGGGTTTTAACCTTTTTTGGGGTTCTAGTAGTAGGCGGGGTTATAAATCCCTATGATCAACTTGCCATATTTAACAGGATACGGTTCTGATTTTCTTACATTTGCTAAATTATAATACTGGCCATTAGTATTTTAATAGTTATCACTGTAGACATCATTACCATCTTCTCCAGGAGAATTTGGGGAGCTGGAGGGTAACCATCACCCCACTGTTCCATCATCAGAATCTCAAACCTCAGAATCTATCAGAGAGTTGTAATCTCACCACAATTGAAAAATGGCCTGCTAACAATATTTTTTAAAAAGAAACGCTACTTGAAATATCAAAGTAACCCCAATACCCAAAAACTGTATTTTAATACCTATTCTCATTGGTTTAAAGAGCCTGAAAAATAAAGCAAGTACATAAACTTTTTCATAAGATTGAAGAAATAGGTCTATTTATATATATATATATTTTTTGGTGAGGAAGATTATTGCTAAGCTAACATCTGTGCCAATCCTCCTCTATTTTGTTTGTGGGATGCCACCACAGCATGGCTTGATGAGTGGTGTGTAGGTCTGGGCCCAGGATCTGTACCCGTGAACCCTGGGCAGCTAAAGCAGAGCGTATGAACTTAATGACTATGCCACCAGGCCAACCCCTCTTTATACTTCTTAACATTTTTTAAGTAACTCAGCTATAATGGCCTAAAGCGTGGATAGAATTTTCAAGGACAATTTAAAGGCACAGAGTAGCAATACTTCTCATGGGGGATTATGGTGTTTAATACTGACAACTGGGGTCTGCTATGCTTAGTAAGAAACAGCAAGGAGAGTGGGAGGTGAAAATCGCTTCTCTATGCCTGTTTCAGGGTTACCCTGTTTTGCGTGGTTGGGTTGTGTGTTGTATGCCAGTGCGATGTGCTCTATTCACTACACACACAAGGGTGAAACTACAGTTCGGTGTGCAGGTCACGCAATCCTCCTTGTAAAACAGAATTGCTTTAGACTCTAAAACTCTGAGCACACCCCGTGATCTTTCTCCAAACACTATATGCAGAAAAAGAAGCTCCTTTCTAAGTCTAGAGTAGTGAGCTAGTGACCCACAAATAAATGAAACTGTCAGCACATTTTGGAGACAACCATTTTAGGACGGCCTTTGGGTGGACCAACATGAACCCTATGATGGCATAACTTCTTATGAGTCAATCCTGGTGGTGACATGGGACCTATTTGCCCCAAACACCTGCCTAGACAAAGCCTCCCCTTTCTCACCAACCCTGTCTAGCTTCCTCCTGATTTTCCATCCCAGTTCACCACCTCGTGCCCACCCTTCTCTCCTGGAGGAGGACAGACATGCAAGAGCCTACTTACTTTCCCTCAGTTGTTGGCACTCTTACCTGCTGTTCGTTAAGCTTCTTCTGTATTTCTCCCGAGTCGCAGGAATCATAGGCTATCGGCTTGGCCAGCTCTGACTCGATGTGAGCCAGCCACGTCCTCAGGCTGCTCATGTTCTTATCCAGCTGCTGCACAGCGACCAGAGTCTCCTTCAGCTTCTTTACCCTGTGGGCAGAGAAGGAGGGGCACTCAGCTTCTGTGAGAGGCCCCACTCAGGTTTCCCTCGTGAGCAGAAGGGAGTGTTGGGTCTAAAGCTGAATTCCTTAGAGCCAAAGCGACTTACTGGCTGTATGACTTTGAGCAGTTGCACAACCTCTCTGTGTCTGTTTCCTCATCCATAAAACGGAGATGAAGTAAGAGTACTTGTGAGATTTAAATGAGCTGAATAATGTGGGATATGTGGGACACATTCAATAAATATTAACGATGATTATACTCAACACAGCTATTATGATAGAACAGTGACAGAAGCTTCATGGTTGTCACAAAAATGATTATTTCCACAAAAAATATAATTTATACTCCTATGAAGTACACCTGGGAGAAAAAAATGAACATTTCCAGTGGATTGTCACCAAATCCACAGATTACAAAGCCACAGTTCTGATCCTTTTGCCCCAGTGGGATATATTTTAGCATTCTTGGGGCACAAACTCAGTTTAAAGAAGAAAGCACACTTAAGATAAACTAACAGTGAGTTATCACATGCATTTGAGCAATTTGAGTTTTACCAATGCCAGATCACATTAAAGGTAAACTGAGGACCTGCTGGATTGCAAACAGCAGAGGCTGGACACAAAGCCACCACTATCCACTCTTCCATTTTCAGAGTTTACTTCAGTTCAGTATTTGCTACATTGCATGCTTCACACACGCACAAAAAAGGTCTACCACCTTTTCCAGGAAGCAGTAAAACTTCATTTGTTTAAGTTTCCCATTTATCTAACTGTCACCTGTGAAAATCTTGTGTGCAAGATGCCAGGAGGACAAAATAAATAAGACTTATTTTCCTAATGACATGTATAATCTGACTGGAAATCTAGACATGTAAACAATGAAATCTAATACAGTGTGGAAAGAACCAAACTAAAGAAATGAACCAAGTCTCTGGGTGATAAATAAGAAGTGTCAATTCTGTCTGGCCACATTCAGGGAATTATTCGTTCATTCATTCATTTACTCCTCGTTCCTTTCTTTATTCTTTCTACAGACGTTTACGGTGCTCGATGATAGAAATACAGTGATGACTACCGTTTCAACCTTGCCCTTGGAGGAACTTAGATTTTGATGAAAGAGGGGAAATAGAGGAATAACATTTGAACTGCATCTTGAAAGACGGATGTAAGCCAAGCAGGACATTTCTGGCCTAGGAAACAGAAAGAAGAAAAGTAGAGATTTTGAAGGCAAACAGTGTGGTAATGCCAGGGAGGATGGGGAAGAGAGATGCAGAAGTGGTAAGAGATAAGACTGGAGCAAGATTATAAAGATCCTGCAGTGACACGATAATGGGTTTGTATGCAGTTTTAAAAATGAACAGGAACTTTGCCAAGATTTACCAGCAGAGGATGATAGGACCAGTTCTGATTTTGAATATGTAAGTGTGATGAGAGGGTGTTCTGGAAGCCCATTCAGGAAGTAAAAAGAATAGCCCAAGCATCTTACATCCAAAGCCTACATTTTGGAAACAGTGGTAACAGAGGTGAGGATGGAATTGCTAAATTCATGAACTGGCATGATGTGAGGGAGGAGGAGCTAAAAACTATGTGTTTCCCAGCTGGGTGACTAGATGGATGCTGCCACCTCAGGATATATAGGATGAGGAGCAAGTTCTTGGGATTAATGGTGCATGAACGTTTGAGATACAACGAGCCCGAGGGATCGGGTAGTTCTTAGGTTCAGCAAAGAGGATGGAGTTTATTGCATTGGCTTGGGTATTGTTGGCATAGAGTTGAAGCCTTATGAAAGGACATGTTTCAACCTGAAAGGGTGTGGATGAGAAGAATGAATTTCAGGAGGCCAGTTAAAGAAGGAGGAATCGCAGAGAAAGAAAAACAACCAGAAAGGAAAGAAGTGAACCAGGAAAAGGTAGCGTGAAATTAAATGCAGGAAAAGTTTCAAGAAGGAAGTGTTGGTGGGGGGATCAGATTGATGTTGTTTAAGGGTACAAACTTGCAACGAATAGTAAATAAGCCACAGAGATCTAATGCACAGTATAAAGAATATAGACAAAAATATTGTACTATAATTACGTAATGGGATAAATATTGCTACAATGACAATTATATTACAATATATAAACGTATTGAAGTAACACATTGCCTTAAAATTATACAATGTTATATGTCAGATACATTTAATAAAAATAAAAATAGGGCCAGCCTTGGTGGCCTAGTGGTTAAGTTCAGTGTGCTCCGCTTCAATGGCCTGGGTTCAGTTCCCACATGCAGACCTCCACGCTCTGTTAGTGGCCATGCTGTGCCGGCAGCACACATACTAAAAAATACAGGAAGACTGCCAAGGAGGTTAGTTCAGGGTGAATCTTCCTCAGCAAAAAAAAAAATAATAATAATAAATAAAATAAAATAAAGAAGGAATTGTTGATCGAAGTACAATCTGAATGACCCCCTTCTCAGAGTCACCTGGTTTGCCTCCAATAAATGCAGTTTCCTTTGAATCAGAACCTCTCAAGGTGTGGCCAGGGAATCTGCATTTTTAACAAGCACTGCAGGGAGTCTTATGCACACTAAAGCTTGGGGACCAATGGTCTACTCTGCCCAATGCAGGGCAGTATAGTATAATGAGGCCTAACAAAGAGGACCTGGGGTCTAGCGATGCGGGGGGCTCTGCCGACCCTAAGTGAGTAGTTCCATCGAGGGCTGGGGAAACAGAACCCAGAATGCATTTGGGTTCACTTATGACAAGGGAGGGTTGTTCATTATTTTAAGAAAGTAGGCAGTGAAGGTGAGTAAATATGGTCTGAAACCTGTAGAATGATGTGGCTACAAGGAAAAATTGATGTTTTTGTTTGTTTTGTTCAATGCAGTTTAATATTTGGAATAGCTTTAGAATGTTTTCAGGCAGAGAGTATGGAACTCATAAGAAAGAAGCCAAAGACAGGAGAAAAAGGAGGAGAGAAATTTCAGATGAATATAATCAATGGAGCAAGCACGCCGAGGAGGCAGGTCAAGGGCACAAGCGCATGGATAAATATATTAGTTTTGAAAGGTGCCTTCCCATTGTGGGCAGGGTGTGAGCAGGAGTTTGGGAAGAACAGAGGTAGTATTTCTTAGCTCTATTCTTACCAAGAAATAGCAGCAAAAGCTGATTACTGAGTCCCCGGTGAGGGCCTGACATGGCTGAGTGTATATAGATAGCTCTACAAAGAGAAGTGATAGGGATGATCAATGTTTCTGATACAGCCCTTATTTAAAATTCAGTTCTGGTTTAAGGCCGTGACTCTTGCCTTTTAGTTCAGGAAATGTGGTCACCTTATTGACACTGCTCATAATATAGACGGCTAGCAGAAAAGCAAAATACTTCAGCCTCTAAGGTGTCAACTTGGTCCAACTGAAGAGGCATCTGCTTGAAAAAAATGTCAAGAGCAGCATGACCTTTAAAACTCTAGAGAGGTGATATATTTCAAGGCAGGGATCTGCCATAGAATACTCTCAAAGTCTGACGACCCGCACGTAGAGTCATCCAGCATTTCTCAACTTTATTACTTTCAGACAGTAAAGAAGTGATTCTCAAGTGGGGATGGTTACAGGGTCACCTAGGGGTGCTTTCAAACCACACGTGCCAGCTGCTAACTCTCTTCTTCCCACCTCCCTCTGCACCCCCCGCCACTCCTCTCCAGATGACTAGTCAAGACCCACTACTCAGAAGAAAATGTCTCTTAACCAAAGTATTTTGAGCATTTTTATTTAATTCCTTAAAACTTATGTCACCATTTCTTTTACAGTTTCTATAAATCAATATTTCTCTCTCAAATGAAAATCTAGTCATGACAAAATCATTCTTCCTCTTTGTCACACAAATGCTTTTAAAAGGATTTTTACTAGGGTCGGTTATTAATGATGATATCTGTTTTTCATTAATTATAATAATACCTATATTTGAATAATATTTTCAGTTTGTAAAAGCACTGTTAGGCGCATTACCTTACAGTGTTCTGAAAAAGATATGCATCTAAAAAATTCTGTTCATATTTCATAATATGTTCTATTGATAGGGAAGGGAAAACCTGTTGCAATATGTTTATCATGACTCACAATTCCACTCAAGATAAGACTGCTCTAATTAACTTTCTAAGTACAAACTGTACCCTGTCCCCAGGGCATTTCAAGGTATTGGCCTTGAACAGTAATTCTAAGAACTTTTACATCCAACTCACTCACATTTCTCTCATATATAAGACAAAATTCACTTGAGTGTCAGTCAGTGGATGAGTTTTAGAATGGCTACTGGGTGCAAAGCTGGGGGCGCACGTTCTGCCAATGACCACAGCATGGACTTGGAATTTAACGTGGCTGTGGCCATCCTGCTTTAGTGGCCCAGATTGAAAGGATGGTCTACAATCAATAAACCCACTGGAACAGGACTGAGGAACGGCTGGTTGCAACAAGATGTCTGTCCTGGTTTTGCCCTGTAAGGATGTCCTCTTGGAAACCTCTCCCACTTGGCCAACTTCCCATCTTCAGACTTGGTAGAATTGGAGTGCTTACTAGGCTTTGGGATAGGGTTTTATACTAACCTCATAATATCATCATGGTTTGTGTGTAGCTCAAGGCTGGAGGAGGGCCTCGCTCACTGCTTGTTTTCTTCTTACCCTTATTTATTCATTTATTTTTGGTGAGTAAGATTGGCCCTGAGCTAACATCTGTTGACAATCTTCCTCTTTTTTGCTTGAGGAAGACTGTTGCTGAACTAACATCTCTGCCAATCTTCCTCTATTGTATGTGGGATGCTGCCACAACATGGCTTAACCAGCAGTGCTAGGTCCACACCTGGGATCTGAACCTGCAAACCCGGGGCTGCCAAAGTAGAATGCAGGAACTTAATCACTAAGCCACCAGGCTCGCTCCCGTCTTACCCTTATTCTAACTTCCTGGTATTATTTATGCACAAGTTCCTCTCCCACCTGGTAAGTTCACTGAAAAGCCGGA